CATTCAAGACAGATGTCATGATAAAACTGAAGTGCTATCTTTCCTCTCCCACTTGCTCATTTTAATCTCTCAGTAAATCCCAAACTTGCCAGGTCCCAGACACTCTTAATGTATGCAACATCCATATAGATCAAAAGGATTTTTTTACCACATGGCCAAGGCCTGATTTGAAGACATCCTTCTGGGAGATTCAATCCATTTACATCACTGTTGGTCCAGTGAAATCAATGGGATTACCTCAAAACTGGGCCAGTGTAAATAGAACATGAACTCTGACTGGAAATGCCAGTATGTCCTGACTGTATATTCCAGATGAGTAGAGCCTGATGCACTGGGGTGAGTGAGCAGGTAGAGGATGGAGCTGGAGGGTGCACAGCAATTCCTGAGGCCAGTGCCATGAAAACAAAATATAATATTACTTTATTTTATCATAACTTACTTGTACCATTGCCTAAATGTCTACACAGCAAACATTTGCTTGTGTCATTAGTTTATCTGTCCCTGGGTAACTGTTAAGATAGCTGTGGTTACTGTGCTGATCTAAGGTACTGAGCAAACATTTTGAAACATTTAGAATGGTTTCATTTATGGCAGAAGAGAAGCCAAAATGAGCTCTATCTTTGTTCTCCAATATCAGTGTAATGATATGTGCTGGAACAGCCTGGGGATGGGAATATTAGTCAACTGCTTTTACAGAACAATGACTTAGTGTCAAAGCCTAAAAACTGGAGGTTGTTGCACCCTTTCATTTTCTGTAATGATATCATGAAATGAAAACTATTTAAAAATACCCCCATAAATAATGAAAAATATTTGTCACTCTCTCAATATTTTACAGACATTCCCACTACATATTTCCTTATGCAGTGACTCCATTTCTCCTTCAATTATCTTTTGAAGCCCTCTTCTCTAGGACTTCTCTGATACAGATGAATTTCATTCCACTTTTACGGGCAATGTGAGCTTGTATACAAACAACAGTGTTTATAATGCAGAATCCTCAGGGCTGTCTCCTGAATTTCCCTACACAAGTAAGAGGTTGCAAGAATACAACAGGAATCCATTCTTGAGGGAGGCACAAGAGGAAGCAGAAAGTGTTATGTGCAGTGATGCAAGGAAGCAGAAAAGTGTTACATTCTTGTATCAGTAACTAAATCACACTGTACCATGGATCAACTATTGCCAGTTACAGTGCTCTATTTCAGGAACAGAGATAAGGATTTCAAATAACGATTACCGAAAACCAGATTGTTCATAATAACTGGTACACAAAAGATGAAATAAAATCAAGAATTTGTCATTGAATTTAGTGGGAATAGTCTGACACAGGCACTATCTCACCTTTGCAATACTCTAGTTGGAATTTAATAGAAAATTGTAGATTTTCCCCTTGCAATTACCTGAATCTACCCTGAGAGTTGCTTAACATCACATGAAAAGTTTGACTATAATAAATATTAAGAAGATAATTTCATTTAAGGAACATCTAAAGTACTTCAGTCAGGCCTCTAACTGAGGAACACTTTCCTTTAGAAGAAACATGGCAAATATCTCCAGAACTGAGTCTGTTGTATGGTTAAATTAAGGATCCGATAATTAAAACATATTTCACAGAAACAATTCCATGGTCTTTTGGTTTTCTTGCTACACAGAGATTAACAAAAGTTCAAGCACATACTATACACCTACAGGCACTGGAGATAGTGCCATATGGGTCACGGAGAAACTCAGATGCGCAACAGCAAGACAGACACTTGTAGAGGGTAGGAACAGACCTGCATTGAGAATTTCAGCAGCTACACAGACTGGACAACCTAAAATGTCCTTCCTTAGAACAGCACATGCATCAGCTGTTGATAAATTCAATACCTAGCCAGGGCAGAAATTTCTCTGCACACAGGCTGCCGTTAGAATGGTAAGTGGCATTTGGTAGTCATATAAACCAACCGCTGCTGGAAGAACAGATTCCAGATATGCCATTTCATGTTTGGTACATTCCTTATAATGAGCAGGTGGATTCAGTTTTAATCCTGCTAGGAGGTGACCTTTTCAAAATTCTGTATTTTTACTGCCTATCAATTTTGCTTCTTTCTTCCAAGCTCGTGAGATTAAAATCAAAGATGAATAGGAATTGCTAGAGAATTACTGAATGCTGAAAAAGCCAAAGTGTTAAAGATGGCTTTCACCCAGTGTATGCCCTCATGCAGCCATGATATCTGATTTTTAATAGATTAGGTGCAAATATGCACATTAGCAAACTAAACAATGTAGTAATATCTACAGAGAACAGGTTTCATCGATTAAATCATAAATATAGCATCTTATTATGCTTTTGGGGAAACAGAAATATGAAAAGCAAGGCATGCATTTTTGAATTATAAGAGGAGGGAATATTGGCAAATCTTTCAACAGCTGTTTATCATGAAAAAGAAGTTACAGTTACTATTCCCCAGCCATGCAGTCTGAAAAACTAAAAACTGTACATTAATAAATTATAACAATGATGCATGAAGCTAATATAAAACTTTTGAAGGCAGTTTCTTAGTCCAGAGGGAGTTGTCAGATTTGCTATTTGTGACTTTAATGTTACTTGGAATTTCTTCTAGGGCGTTTAAAACTCCTTTTGTGACTCTTCATCAGCAGTTTCACAGACAGCAAAGGCCTTGACAATATACATTTTCACTTTCTGCATGGCTGACGGACTTCATATGCTATATCCAATTTAAGGGTAGAGCAGTAGATTACATTGCTCGAATATAGAGAGCCATTGCCATTGAGACTGAATCATTGCTGTTTATAGTAATTCTTACTATTTGGTTTTTGACAGCCCTTTGTGACTGGAATAAAAGATGATGCCGAGATTATTGTCAAGCTACTGTAATAGCTAGTAGTGCATGAAGTCTGCAGCAGATGGACTTGAACTTATGAGCTCTCAGATTCTCAATAGCCTTTCAAATGAGCAGTGTTCTCCTTGGCCACATGTAATGCGACTGACTTTGACAAACCCTTATTTCAGAAGATGAAATATTATTTCAGCCAGCTTTCTTTGTTCTATTTGAAATGTTTTATAGGGCTTAATTTGAGAGGTAGCTCGGAATTGAGAGAACAAATTGATTTTCAGTTGCATGAGGTAAACTACGTTACAGGTACATCCAAGCTGAACAACAACAAAGTGACTCAACATAGTCAGAACACTTCCAAAAGTGCCCCCCAGCCATTTCCATTACAATACACAATTGCTATGTAACTGTCTTTGGCTAAACTCATATTTTTCCTCATGAATCCCACTAATTCACAGACCTTTAATATAACAAAGAAGAAGCAATAGTAAAAATTTGTTTGGCATGTGATACCCCAGAAGGATTCCCTTATAACACAAACAACTTGGATGCTGTTTTAGCTGCTGTCAAGAACACAGATGGACAGCAACCAGCTTGTGTTGCTGCAGGAACATCTTACACCTGATTTGTCTCACTAAAGACCCCTTCCAGAAGCACAATTCTCTCAGGTCACCAGTTTACTGATTCCTTAGTGCAGTGCAGTGCAAACCCACTGTTGTTCAGTCAGCTGTTCATGCCAGAATGGGCCAACAGAAACCTACGAGAGTGAGCTGAGCTTTAGCAGTTCTCTGGACCCAATGAATACACATAACCAGGCCCTAAGTCAAATCATAAATGTTCCAAGGGCTGATTTAAAACTTGGACAGATTATTTCTTTTGTCCATATTTTGAATCTTTGCATCAGGATCCATTACTCCTGCAAACCTTTTTTCTTTTTTTTTTTTTGCGTATCATGATTCTTTCTTTATATTCTAGCATTACAGTTTGATCTTTTATTGCATTGCTGCTGTTCAAGATCCTATAGTTAAAGTTGTGTCAGCACTTTTACTACAAAACCCATTTACGAGGGGTTTATAACACAGCTATAAAGATGTACTACAGAATGAAAGGTGGTTTACAAAGTCTCAGCATGGGGCACTGTCTTTTTTTTATCACTTTTTAATAAACAAATTAGACTTGCTATTTTAAGCCTTTATGAGTGTAAAGCAATTCCAGTTTATAGGTTATTGCCTATATAACGTGGCAATCAACTGTTATTAAAAAAAGTAAAATGAAACAACTTATAAGTACTATGATTAAAACTGATTATGGAAAAAGTGGAATTTTGAGACAGTAAAGGCAGGCCAAATACATGTTTTCTTATGGGAGTGAGCTGTGCACTGAGAATGTGCTGAGCTTTATAAACTCATTTTCCCCAAGGCAATGGGGGAGTCCAGCTTGGGGTACAAGGTGTGAACCTGGTGAATAAATTCCCCTGGAATCTCTTGCTCTGTGTTTATGTTGCAAGGACACTGGTTCCCAGTGGAGTAAACACTGGGTAATGCATTCTTCTCTCCTCTAATGTCATCAGAGCTGACTTCCTGAAAAAAAGATTTTCAAGCGCTTTCAAAGTGCAGGTTGCTCGTGAACCCCACAGATGTGTGCTTTAATAAAAACCCACTGATGAGGGTCAGTGAAGGCTCGAGAGTGCCTGTTTTGGAGTGTAGTTTACCCTTTACTACATTACCCTTCTCTTGTTTCTGCTTAGCCAAGTACAGTGCTGTGTTTGGAGGCACTCTGCAAAACCCCTACATGAAGGTGCTACCTGGTTGAGCAACTTTCCTTGATAAACTGTTTCAAGACACTGGGGTTTGATGAACAGATTCACAGCTTCTCACCAGTGACTCATCCCCCAAGATGAGGGTCTGGTAGCCCACTCAGGACTCACAGATCAGTAATAACATGAAATAATGAGTCCAGAGGGACTGCCAGAGAAAGCTGGTCATACTGCTTGCAGTACCTGAACTATGAAGCCCCATGTGTAAAATTCTCTGTGTACCCTTGAACACTTTCATGGAATCTTGTGTTGCACCCTGGAGACATCCTTAGTTACACGCAGTTCCCAAGATGTGCTGACAGACTAGGAATGCTCCACTAAGTCACTACATCTGTGGGTTAATTCACGGCTCTGGATTTGGCTGTGATGTGATGAGAGTGGGAGGTGAGTTTCAAAGTATGCTGACTATAGAGGGCATTCAAATAAAGAAAGAGCACTGGCTATGTACATGTACAGATGTTATGTGCAAAATCTGGAGTGAAACTCAGGCTCTCTCTACACTGGACCAGACGTACACACAAAGCTGCACCTGTGAATGCACTGGATGACACTCACCAGCCAACTCAGACACCAAGAGGGGAAGCTGCACCAGCACAAACTTCAGCCCAGGCTGCTCATACCTTCCAAAGGCTTCGGGTGCTTCCCAGCTGAAGCATGTGCTGCCAGAGCCCTGGCTATTAGCACTGTGTTACAAGTGAGGTAACAGATGTGCTACTGCCTGCAGTGCAGGGAGCCCTGAAGTCCAGGCTCCGCTGGCTTCTACTGAATTGTGGATCTGAAGTAATTTTAAAATGTTAATATCTTGCACTCAGTGAAAATGGGGCTGCCTCGGATTCTGATCATGCAGGCGCTACACAGATAACTTTACACATGGGACCTCACAGAGCTGCCTAAATTACAGTATGTTATTACAAACTCCAGTGAAGACTGGCACAGAAATCAGGACTGATTTTTAAAAAACAGACCACAAATTCCAAAGGAATAACTAAAGGCAATGAGGGGAAAAAATTAAAAATCAGGTTTTACAATGGTGCTAGCCACATATTAACAGAAGATCTATTGTTGTCTTTCTCATAAGTACTGCATATTAAAAAGAATTAATATACTAAAAATATGTTTTCAGAGGAGATGAAACTTCAATTGTCTGCACATAAAATACCCGTGATGTATTTAAACAACCTTTTAACGGATGAACTATTAAATATATTTTCCAATATACCTAGGAAGGAATCACTAAATGCTAATCTTTTCCTAAATATTTAAACCATCAATACACTGCGCAGGCTAACAATGAGTTTCTACGAATGTAAATGGTTCTGTAATAATTTAAAACAACCTTAAGTACCACACGTAGAACTGCACGATCACCTCCCAGTGACCCCGGATTTTTCCTCAGTTTTGCAAGGAAGGTTGCTGGCAGCAAGGTCGTTACACGGACTGACAAAAGCAAGTGGAGACAGCGAGCTGTGCTTATTTAAGTCTCTATTCTTCCATGCCACTCAGCTTCAATCCTGTGCCTGGCAAAACATCATCAGTATTCTCTGCCTCTTTTAACTAAAGGAAGCAAATCAAGAACCAGACAGGCTAATGGGAACTGAACCTCATTTCTTGGCCTCTCGCTCAACCTGTGAAGCCAAACGGAAAGCAGCCCACTTCTCCAGGCCTGTGCTCCCCTTGCCAGCTGGGAAGCCGAGCCCCTCCTCGCCTCCCGGCTCCGTGGCAGGCAGCATGCAGACTGCTTTCCCGGCTGTGAGCACCATGAGCCAGCTGGGAATCTGACTGCTTCTCCAGGTCTCCTGTCCACCTGCCAAAGAGAGTCTGCAGGGCTCCTTTTCCACTTGCCCCAGCCAGTTAGGAGGTGATCTATAGTGCTATTATCACAGCAGTCCAAGAATCTCCGTACAAAAATGAAGTTTTGGTAAAGTTCCACAAGAAAGGGGACCAAAAGAGGAATTTAATAAGGAAAGGGCATCCTCCTCACTCTTTCTCAGTTCCCTCAGAGTCAAATTTAGGGGCTGTATTTCCACCCCTTCTCCTAACTGTGCTTAATCTGAGGCACATTCAACTAGAAATACCACAGACACATTAGAGGGAGGGAACTGAAAAAGCAACGGCTACTGACTAGAGCTGGTTGAAAGGCTCTCAACAAAACCTGAAACCATATAAAACCCACCTCGTTTCATATTTCACTGCAACTTGAAACTCAAACCAGACTTGTCGAAAGGTTCTCTGAGGATTGTGGTTCCAGTCACAACTGGCTGATCCATTTATAGTGTGCAACTGTGTTAGACAAACTGAGGGCCAGTGTAGCTGGGCTCTGTTTCGCAGCTCTGAGATGTAAAGGAGAAGGTCAGCTAGTCCTACGTGCTGTCCCTTGTGGCAGGCTCTGAACATGGGGAAGAGGCTCATCTCCCTCACACAGGCAGACATGCAATAGCAAGACAGAGCATATCCCCTCCCCATTTTCCATTTCTGTATGGGATAACCAGTCAGTTAAAGGATGCTTAGAGATCAAGAACCTTGGGATGAACAAGTGCAAAGAAAGAAGCATCCTTCTGCCCCATCAGGAGAGGACAGGTTGTTTCCCCCATACACAAGCCACAGCAGCCTGGTTTTTGGCCCATTTGTCTGCTTGCAGTTGGTCCAGGACCAGGTTACTGTTTTCACCTGAATTAGTTGCTTGAAAGATACTTTGAGTAAACAACTTCTGCATCTGAACTTGTTACACAGGTTACTGTTGTCATTCATGCATTGTTCTGCACTACTCCATGCTTTGGATGGTCAGTACAAGCAAACCACTTCTGGTCACTGAGTCATTGGTCATAATTTTTATTGTTTTATGCTGGCTCTGCTCACATACACATAGGTGCTAGCAAACAGAAAAACCACTCATACAACCTCAAGTACATTCACAAGCCTCAACTGCCCCAAATGGCCACAAAGAGCAAATACACAATCGTCCTGTCAGTACATAGATCATTTCACCAGCTTCAGTAACGTGGATATTTAAAACTACCTTTTCCCTTTCCCTTCTTTCTTCTCTCTCTCTGTGCTTTTCCAGGTCTAGTTTGAGTTTTGTTGTGAAGCACTGGATTCATTCATACATCAAAGGGAACCTAAGGCATCAGAGCCCACATAGACAGAAAACAAAGGCACTGTTTACAAGGCGGAAACTTGCTGAGAGAAGCAGCTGAGTTTTGCAAGGCTCACCCACTGACTGCCACCTTGGAGGTACATCAAACACCACTACTTGCTCCATACAGTCAAACATTTCTCTTTCAAAGCCTCCCAATATAATGGATTATTTGTATTACTGTAGTACTGAAAAGTCCCAGCCCTGACCAGTGCCCTGTGTGGAGTACTTCCCCCTTACTGAGTTTTGCTGGATGTGAAACAGCCCAGCTCTGTGGGCACAGAGGTCTCTGTGGGCTAATCTAGATTAAATTAGGCTGGAAGGAGCTACCACAGTATCTCAAAACTAGGCACCCACATTAAGGATTAACCTTCTCTCACTCAGGGTTTGTACTGAGCCAGAAAAAAAAGAAAAAAACTTAATTTTTTTTTTTTCTTAATGAGTTCCTGTTATATTTATTATACACTTAGACTAACATATAGGGGCGGTTGACCATATTTTTGAGGTCCTATATGCTTATTCTCATTTAAATAAATTACTTCCTTTTTGAGCAGGGTCAAAAGAGACTCTGGCATGGGAAGACACAGGCAAACTAGCTGTTTCACATACAGCTTTGCACTTTTCAAGCCAAGTGTGGAAAGCCATGGCAGATTCAAAACTCATCCTCTTTCCATCTGGCAGAGCAGGAGCTCAGTATCCTTCCTATCTTGTAGACATGCTTTTTTCCTTTAGCTGAGAATTATTAATTACAGTTAGAGTGTCTGCTTTTCTCTGTTTGTTTGTTTTTGCTCGTATGCCAGGCTGCATACAATGTATCCAGTATTCTGAAAATACAGCTGAGTCTACCAGCCTTGCACTTCCCTTTGCTACACCAACCCTGTTTCTTTACAGCTGAGATAAAAAAGAGGGGATAAGTATTTTAAATGACACTCATCTCATAGCCTCCATAAAGTATGAACATTTTTTCTTCGTTGTGGATAAACGTTTTGGCAACTAAATGAAAAACACAAAAATCATAACCTTGTTCTTCCACGACTACAGAGTGCCTTGGACTGCAGAACAGTGGACTTCCAGTCCTCCAGCCCTTCACAAAACTTGGAGGAGGCCCTTGTCAGTGAGAAACTTTGACAGGTTACATCAATACAAACTGAAGGCCCGGCTCTGATCACAACTCAGAGGAAGCCCACTCATGAAGTTGTGAGGACTTTGTTTGTACTATCAGTGCCATAAATGAGAACAAAATGGAGGGTACAGAGCAGCAACTACTGGATAACCTCTAGAACATTTGTTGCTAGTGTTTATTACACCAAATACATAATAATGGGTTTCCTATTAGACTCAATTTTCTCCACTCATGGAAACACAAAACAGAGTGTTTAAATCCAAATAAATAGTTTCCTTTTAAAATGTGGGCACATTAATTTGGCTTACAGGATAATAGCTTTATTCTAAGAAATGCATATTAAGAGTATAGTCCACAGAGCATATGATTCCTAAGATATATGCTGGACAACAGTATGAACCACACCTATGCCTGGTGACTGTTCACATTGAGAAGGGTGTTGCTTACCTATGCCTTCTTTGAGGGGGCTGATTACTATTTGCAGTGATGTGGATGTTGCATTGGCTTCACTGTGCTAGGTCAGTGAGCAAGAAGATTTGAGGCTTATTCAGAGTCTGCACTCTCATCTGAAGCACGATGCAACAAATAGCTATGAGGAGCAAACACAAGGAATGATGAAGAGGAATAAATGTTACATGTAGAAAAACTTGTAAGCTAACAAAATAGCTATTTCACAGTTTAGTGATTCCAAAATAATCTGAAAGGTTTTAACAAAAATCTTCACCTTTGATTTTGGCTATCACAAAACCCTGGCTGCCCCTGTGCATAAGTGACTTCTCGTGTTAGCACAGCAGACATTTCTTCAAGCAGATATTCAGAAAAGAAGAGCACTTCACATGTTCATTAAACTACAGCATTTTACTAGAAAAGTTACAGAGTGAAAAATAGAGATGCCTGTGAGGATGAAGTACCCCCAGCTAGTACCACTGGTGTAAGGAGAAGAACAACTGGGCAACACAGCATTCTGAACTATTTTGCTTCATGGATTAGGTTCTGTGGCTGGGAGCAAGAGCCCAGCAGAGCTTGACTGGCTCTCACCAAGCAACTGCTGCTGAAAGCAAAGGACATCAGCAGCTGCTGGAGCAGTGGCACTCCCATGCCAGCACCCTGCCAGCTGGATCTGCAGCTCCACTTCAGAGCTACAGGCACTCAGAGAAATCAAAACGAGGAAAATAATCAATATAATGGAATTCTTAAGAGAAATTTGAAAAAAAAAAAAAAAAACAAACCTCATCAGACTAATATTTCTGTGGATATTTTAAAAAATCTGTTGCAGCTTCCAAAAGTTTTAGGCATACTTCACTGTATTCAGTGTTACAATCCCAAGAGCCTAACAACCATGAACCATGTTTTTATTCCTTATCAATCAAACTACTCCTGCCCAGAGTGCCATGGGAAGAGTAAGAACAGAAGTGTGGGTCTATTGAACCTTTGTCTCTCTACAGCAGAGTACTGTGTATGGGCACACGATCCCTCTTCTGTTGAAAGCATATACTCAAACTCTCAGTTTTCTCTTTTTAAATATACACCCAAATTATCCTGCTCAATACGCATCCGTAAAACTACATATGTCATCTCAGGTAGGTATTATAAGCATTTTTTATTAATTGGAGATGTATTCTGGTTGTATCAGGAGTTCTACTTTCTACAGTCATTTCTTCTGCGATCTTTTAGAAATGGTTATGTTAAACCCCATGCTTTCTTTAACACTTGAAATAAACCCCATGTGAATCTGTTTCTTCTTAGGAACCAACCACTGCTTTCTGTTGTGTGAAGAAAATGAAAAGATACCAAATTATTTGAATCTCCCCAGTGAATACAGTATCTACAGAGTAAATATGAAGTTATACACTGTCTCTCCTCGCAAATTCTGTTACTTGGCTAAAAAATCTGGACATAAATATCTCAGTTATCCAAGATAATCTGTGTTTAACAAAGTTTCATTTATAAAACTTACCATGGCTAATAAACATTTTAATTATTGATTTCAGCTGAAAAATTCCCGAGGCTGAGCATAAACAAAAGAAATAAGTATCTGCCTATTGGTTAATGTTTTTATTCAAGTGTAGAGGTGAAGCTATAGATCCCAGAGATGGAAAAGCAATTTGCTATTCTCACTCATATTTAAAACCCTATTAGTGGGTTTGTGGAAAAAAAAAAGTCATATACTTCAAAAAAAAACAGGCTATGAATTAATGTTTATAGATTTTATTGCTTTTCCTAGCTCTCTCTATTTCTATTCTCTATTCTTTGTAATAGTCTTAAAAAAACCTTAGGATTATAATTTTTTCCCTGCAGATGCTGTCTTTTTCTATTAAACAAACATCAATCCCCTGCATTTTCCCTCTTTTGTTACCCTGCCACCCCTTTTGTATCAAATGGACGTAACATTATCTCAAATACTTTTGCATTTAACATCTACAACTTCATTTCACACGGGTCTAATTCAGACTCCATAATACTAATAACAATAATCATCACACTGCTGTGTATTACAAAAGACCTAATTTTTTTCATTGCATAGGACTTCCTTTCCTGTTGACTTTGGGCTAGACTTGAAAAGCACAGCCTGTTGTCCATCATGGACAGCCCTACAGGGAGCTCCACCTTGCTCAGCAGGAAGGATCAGGGAGGAGGTACAGCTGATCTGCCCATCAGGATTGTTCCCACCACAGATGACCTTTCCCTGTGGCCTGTGTGGGCTGTTAAGAAAACCAGCAGAGAGCAGAACATGTATCAGTGGCTCTGAAAGCCTGAACCAAACGTACTGGCAACAGCAGATGGGGGCAAGTGAAACTTTCATTTGTCCAGGTCCTGCAGGGTCTATAGCAAAGACTGATACAACAGAGTTCACGTTATTTAGTCATCATTTGTTTGGGGTTTGCATTTGGGAAGGAGTTTGCTCTGAAACTCAGTAAGAACAGCAAGATCCTGGCCCCAGTCAGGAGTATATGAATCTTCTCAAATCCACCCACATGCCCATTGGGACAGCTGTGTGGGGCACACCTGATCAGATTAAGGAATCAACAGAAAACTTGATGTGGGATGCCCCCAAATACTCATAATCTAACAGTTTAGGTTGTACTGAAACATTAGGTTGCACTTGAAAAAGTTCTCTTCTTATGTGAGGAGCAGATCAGGGCAACTGAGCCTTCATGTGAAATAAATTCATCATTCTTCTAATCTTTTGGGGTTTTTTTATGATGTAATGCCAGGTATGATCATCTCTATGAAGAGAGAGAGCACAGTAGTTGAAAGTCTAGTTAGACAAAAATTTCAGGATTACCACTAGCCTAAAAGTTCTCTTCTTCTTTTAATTGTATTTTCACTGGAAAGAAATTTCTATGTAATCAATTTTTTGCATTGTATTTATCCTAGTCAGAGAGGTCAACTTTAGTTCTCAATTGTCCTGGCCACAAATTTGCTGGTCTAACAGATCAGAATGACTGGAGAATCAGACCATGGAATGCTTCTGTTGCACTTCTTCTGCACAATTATTTTGAATTTCTTTTTGTGACAAGACAGACAACACCACCTCTGGATTCACACTGCACTGACTTCAGCAGATAATGCTCGTTTAGCTGTTATTAACTGCCCTGAGGGTGATACGAAGTCCGCACCTATCATCTGAAACACATTCCAAGATCAACAATAGGAGTCACCAGATAATTTTCTTCTTTACTGAAGGATGCTCTAAACTTTAAATGTTTCTCTTTACCTCATGTTATACACAATAAAAATGACCATTCAGTTGCTCTTACAAACTTAAATGCATATACTCCAACTTTGTACCCAGAGGGCAATTTTCTGGATTATAAAAGGGCAGACATCTATTTTGCAGCATACCTGCTATTTTTATAATTCAGTCTGAGAGAAGGAGAAACAACTGGGAGTTGGAAGACCCTGATACCAAGGATACAGCGGTAATCAGTGAAAGGAAAAGGTGGATCTTTAAAGAAATTCTTTTTAAAGATAATTAAAGGCAAGCTGATAGGCACACCAATTATGGGGGACACTTCCATTGTCCAGGCAGCACAAACCAGCACATCTCATATTCTTACACATCAGGTGAGCAAATGTCAACCAGGACTCTCAATACCTGCTGAGCTGCCACACAGCATGGAGTGCACGTAGCTATTTGCCCACAAGCTTCCTCAACAGTTCTACTGCGGGCTTTCTGCATTTGCTTATTTACATACACCTCCCACTGAGCTGTCCCATGAACACCAGGGCACAGTCTGGAGCAGAGGTGGGGTTTGCAGCACACAGGCACCACCCAGCTCCTGCTAAGAATCGTCCTGAGCCTTATAGAAAGCACCAGAACCCTGCAGGCACCCTGCTCTGCTTGGCTGCCTCTGCATTTGTCTCCAACAGGGAGTAAAATGTTGGAAGTACAGCATCTTAATCATAAGCCACCACACAAAGTCATGTTTTTTTAAAAATAAAAGTACTTTGAGAACTTCCGGACATATGTGACAGATAATTATTTATCTATGTCCCTTACTCGCATGTGTTTTCTCTAATGAAATACTTATCATTCCATATCTCACTTCATACGTGCTTGTAGTAATTAGATCAAGCAACAAGACAATCTTTTGTTGTTGCTGAAGCAAGTCACAAACTAATCTTAATTCTGTTGGAAGTCGTCTTCCCTCTAAACAGTTGAAGACATTTATTATTGAACTTCCTGCTTTTGACAGAATTCTATTAAAAGAAATTGATTTTACTAGCTCAGACTATTACATTCTGCTGAAGGATAAAGCATCATACCTAATTTTCGTTCCTGATTTTTGTTACGAATATTTTTAAAAATTCAATAAGCTGTTGACTGAAATATCCAGTCACAAGTGCCATTGCTTTCAAAGGTTTTAATTTTTTTTGTAATCAGATATCAACATACTAGAAATTCTGTAAAAAATAATAAAAATTAAACTTACTTTTTAAATATTCTTTCAGGAAAATTACATTTTAACAACTAAATGCAACAATATGTTGGATTACATTTTGAGCAGAATGTTTACCTTTCACTGAGTTTCTCTGCCAGCTGTGTCAGCGCTGACTGTAATAGCTTATGTATAAAAAATATTAAAAAGAGCTGTTTATTTTTTTTTAATTGCCATGATCGTGCCAAAAAACACAATGTGTGGGCTGGAGGCAGAGTGCTGGGAGCAATATTATTCATGTTAAAAACAGTTGCCTGATTTGCTTTCTTTGAAAATTAGGATACTATAAATAGGAGCCCAGTGGGATTTGTCGATTGCAAGTTATGTTTTAGAAGCTGCTCGGATGAAACTTTTGAAAGACTTACAAAAGATAGAACAATTACATTATGGCTTGTCATTTCCCTTTGGCCTATACTGGACCTTTATTTTTGAAGAGAGTTAGGTATTATAGACCTACCTTCTATTTCTATGAGTATGTTGAAACATTAGACTTTTAGAAAAATCTTTATAGAAAGATTTATTTGCTTTTCATATGTCTTTCTATAAGCCAGCTATCTTAACTCACTGTTTTGTTCATAGTAATTAAAGATGTTTTATTGCCAAGCTCATATCAATTTTGTGTTGCTTGCTTTGTGAAAACCCTTCCCCACAAATTGCTTGGAAATTAAGGAATACTAATCCTTTACAA